AAGGGGTCGGGGTCACCAGGGCCGAGCACGCGCGGGGACGGAACTGGCCACCAGGCGACCAAAGCCCGAGTATCCAATCCGGGCATCGCGCGAACCAGGGGGTCAAGCTCTTCCCCCCGGGGCAGGAGCTGGACCGGAAGTGCGTCACGGATGGGCGGGTCGCCCTCGCCGACCCTGCGTGGCGCTCTAGGGTTCGGAGACGCGTTCTGTTGCCGGGGAGACGGAGGCTGCGGCTGCCTAGGCGTCTGTCTGCAGCATCTTTGACCGCCCGGCCCTTGGGACGCTGAGATGCGGTGTGGTCACGGCAACTCTTGTAAAATCAAAGTAACGCCAGTGCAGGGCTTTAATTCACGCAGAACGGAGGACATCGTAAAAGTCACTGTCTTACCCTGACTGGTTTGGCTCAGTGGATAGAGCTTCGGCCTGCGGACTGAAGGGTCCCAGGTTCGATTCCCGCCAAGGGCATGTACCTTAGTTGCGGGCACATCCCCAGTCGGGGGTGTGCAGGAGGCAGCTGATCGCTGTTTCTCTCTCAATGTTTCTAGCTCTCTATCCCTCTCCCTTCCGCTCTGTAAAAAATCAATAAAAAATATGTTTAAAAATTTTTTTTTAAAAAGTGACTGTCTCGTATGCTCCGCAGAGGCAAATCCTTCCAACTCTTGTAGCTTATCCTGCGACAGGAATATCGATGTTTCTAAACCAGAAGCTGCTAGTCCTTTATGTGTTTAGACATTTCTGTGGACTTCCAGATAGAGTCAGTGAGAACTTTATCTCCAAACAACCCGACCACCTCCGCTCCCCCGCCTCACACCCCGCCATGGCCACGTGACCTCCCTACCCATTAGGATTACGTCACCTGTCCGGTGCTGTCTGCTCTGCTACCTGTTATTGCATACAACCCTGCCTCCGTTCTTACACAGTAATTTTTTTTTCTTTTGAGTTAATACCTGGTCTTTTTTCTTTTCTTTTTTTTTTGCCTTAGTGTTTTTCTTATGCCTAGAATTTTACTAACTCATACCCAATTTTTCCCCAAGGCTCTAACATCTTTGCCACATGCCCATTGATAACATTTTCCAAAGGCTCAGACACCTTCTATTTAATTCCTGGAGACCTCTCTCCAGAGCCCCCGCCCCCCATCCTCCTAGTCCAATGCAGACTGGTTGCTCCCGAGCCCATGCAGAGCTGTCATCTTGTGCTTTCTCTAGTCATCCTGCTGACTCGGCCTTTCCCCTGTGCTCAAGTCCGTTTCCTGGAATCTGTGCTGACCCCCTCCTTGGTCTGCTCTCTCGTTTTACTGAAGTCAGCCCTCTAGTAGCTTACTGGGAAGGGTCCATATCTGAAGTGTGTTTATTCTACTCTCACCCTGATAGTTTGGCAGGGTATAGAATTCTAGGTTGGAAATGCTTTTCCTTCAAGGTATTTGAAGTCAGGTGTTTGTTTTTGTTTTTTCCTTCAGCTGCCAGGGCCACAGTTGAAAACTCTAAAGCCATACTAATTCCTAACAATTTGTATGGGATATGTTTGTTCTCTGAGAAAGCGTTTAGGATCTTATCGTTATCCTCAGTGTTGCCAAGTGTCACAATACACCTCGATGTGGACCTTTCTACCCATGGATCTACACACACAGTTGTCTTTTTCATCCCAGAGGCTTATGTCCATCTACTTGGGAGTTTTTTTTTAGAAAAAAACATATATATTATTGATTTCAAAGAGAAAGGGAGAGGAATAGAAACATCAATGATCGGAAAGAATATTGATTGGCTGCCTCCTGCATGTCCCCCACTGAGGATCGAGCCCGCAACCTGGGCATGTGCCCTGACCGGGAATTGAACCATGACCTCCTGGTTCATAGGTAGACACTCAATCACTGAGCCATGCCAGCTGGGCTCCTTAATTCATTTTTGTTAAAAAAAAATTGTTATTGATTTGTGAGAGAAAGACATCAACTTGTTGTTACATTTAGTTATGCTTTTGTTGGTTGATTCTAGTATGTGTCCTGACCAGAGGCGAACCCCACAACCTTGGAGTACTGGGATGATGCTCTAACCCACTGAGCTACCTGCCAGGGCCTACAAATTTGTTTTAAATTGTAGGACACTGGTCAGTGTCTGCTGAGACCTGGAGAGTTGCTGGATGGTTTGGAAACACACATTGCGCTCTCATCTCTTCCCTTCCTGAGTTCACGTTTACTCTCCCTGATTCCTTCCCACACACACACACACAATGTTCTTCATATGTGCATTTTTCTCACTTGAGTTTAATTATAGATTCTTCAAAGCCTTTCTCCTGCTCTCTGCGTTGGCTCTCCCATCCCAGATCCTTCTCTCCATTTGCTCTGGTCTGTCCACTTCCAGGCGGAAGCTTTCCTCCAATGTCTGGGGAGCCTTCTTTCCCTGTTGCAATCTGAGAGCGAGACACTGTGTTAAGGAGGATCAAGCCCCACGGACAGTGTCAGAAAACCTTCCAATAAAAGTGTCTGAAACAAGACAGAGGCTGGGTCTTCTCTCAGGTAGAGGTGGTCCAGGGCTGGCTCCTCCACAGGGGACTCCAGAAGGAGGAGTTGGGAGGTGCATCTACCACTGGCATCCCATGGGCCAGAACTTGGCGCGCGCACACCGCTGCAAGGGAAGCTGGGATGTGTACTTTTTCAGGCGACTTCCCAGGCCAGCTAGTGGTGAAATCACTAAGAAAGAAAGAAAGAAGGAATGGATATTGGGGACAATGGCAGTCCCTGCCCTTAACAGCGGGGTGGGCGCCTTGCTCACCTGGGCAGGGCTCAGCATCCCTAGGCCACCGTGGCGGCGGTGGTGGCGGCGGCGGGGGGCGGGGTGGCGACCTGGTGAATGTTTCCTCTGGGTCTCCCTTTTCCCTCCAGGGTGCCCGTCTGCCAGGCTTCCTTCTGGACCCAGAGTCGGGAAGGGAGCCTGCCTGCCCCACCCAGAGTGCAGACTTCCAGTTTACCTCCCTCTTCTCAGTCTATTCCGTCTGTAATCCTCTCAAGTTCAATAAACAGTATCACTGCAGTGCTCGCTAAGTACTGGGCACGTGTGTTTTCACCGGCAATCCTTACTCAGCCCGACCAGCCAGGCGGTACTGTCGACCCGACTCACAGATAAGGACCCGGAGAAGGGGGGCTGAGACGTGTGCACCCAGGGCCCTGTGGCTGGGCAGCGGTGTGGGAAAGGACCCCTCCCCACAACACACACACACACTCCCCAGGGTCAAAGGCCAGGGCCTGGACACATGGCCACGCTGCCCAAGGGAGGGGTGAGTTCAGACTGCCAGCCAGACTTCTGTTCAGGCTGGAGTCTCACCTGCCTTTCCCAGAAACATGTCTCTGGGACCCAAACTTAGGTGCAGAATAAACAAATACATAAAACAAGCCGCTTAAGTACTGGAGCCCGGAGGACATTTGCTCTTGGGCCTCCGGACTGGGTAGACCCCCTCCACCCCTGAACCTCAAATCCAGGAAGGACAGAGCCCAAAGCCAGGCATCTTTGTCTGGCTGAACCGTCACAGGCAAAGCCAGAGGCCAGAAACCGGATCTCTCTGCAACTTGCAAACGGCTGAGGCAACACCGATTGATAAGAAAGAGAGATGATGGCCCTAGCCGGTGTGGCTCAGTGGATAGAGCGTCGGCCTGCGGACTGAAGGGTCCCAGGTTCGATTCCGGTCAAGGGCATGTACCTGGGTTGCGGGCACATCTCCAGTGGGAGATGTGCAGGAGGCAGCTGATTGATGTTTCTCTCTCATCGATGTTTCTAACTCTCTACCCCCCCCCCCTCCTCCCCGCCCCAGATCACCCTGACTAGTTGTTCCACCCTGTGTCCTGCCTGCTTGGCTTCCTGAATGCTCACTTATGGGGGGGAAAAAGAGGAACAAATGTAATAGTCTGAACAATAAAGATTTAATTAAAAAAATAAAGAAAGAAAGAAAGAAAGAAAGAAAGAAAGAAAGAAAGAAAGAAAGAAAGAAAGAAAGAAAGAAAGAAAGAACGATCCAAGGGCACGAAGAGGGCAGGAAACGTTGTAAAATGGAGAGTTCTTGCTGCCTTTCAAAGGCAAGACCCCTCAGGTCATTCCTGAAAGGGAAGAGGAACCGAGGGGAACTGTACTCCACGCGGCCGGTGTTTTGTTCTTGGCCTTTGGGCAAAAGATGAAACTGAAAAAAGGAGTTTCATTTTACCAACCTATTGCATTAAATTTTTAGTACTATTTTTTTAAAAAAATATGTGGACTTTTTATTTGGATTAAAAATGAAGGTTAATTTTTCTAAAAAAAAAAAACAGCTGCGCGCCCCTGGAGGCGACCTGAACGCCCAGGATGCTGATCCCAGCGACCCAGAGGGGTCCACCCCCTGTGCCCCCCACCCCACACTTTGTGCGTTCGCAGAAAGCGTCTGTTCCAGGGCAGTGCTTGCCGCAAAGTTTGTGATCTCAGAACGCGGGAAGAAAGCGGTCCGCCCCCAGGGTGCTGCCGCATGACCTACACGTGCGTCTCTAAGGCATGGAGAGCATGGGGCTCCCACCCCCGCACCCCCTTCTCACTCCGCCCCCGCCCCGCACTGTCACCTGCCCTGCTCTGCCCACGGTGCCCTCCCCTCAGGCAGAGCACCTGCATTGTCTCAGCTCCCACTGCAGCCGATGTGAGCAAACTGGCCCACGCCCCGCGGGGTTTGGGTGGGGTTAGGAGGGTCCCTAGATCACCATCACTTTCTGCTTCCCTGGGGGAGCTCCTGAGTCCCCGAAAGCTGGGGCAGGGGTCCAAGCGCAGGGCCCTCTCTGCTTGAGGAGAAAGGAGGAACCAGGGGCAGGGCCGGGGAGGGCCGCCCTCGCCAAGCCTTCACCCCCAGCTGGGTGCTGAGGCCTGGAGGCCCTGTTCAGGGTCCCAGCAAGCTGCGGAGGCCTGGTTTGGGGGTCAGGGCCCTCCAGGCTAGGTCAGGAGGTGTGCTGGGCGGAGCCGGGAGGGGCGGTGCGTCTGACCCTTGGCTTCAGGCTCGGAGGCCTTGAGATCTGGTGCTGACCTGGACTTTTTGGAAAATGACCAGGAACTAGAGAGGCTGGGGGTAGGGTGAGGTGGGGTGCTCCATGGGTGAGTCGGTGCTCAATGGCTGTCCAGAGCTGGGGACCAGTAACTCAGCACTGCAGCCACCGAGCGTCTCCTCTCCCTCCCCCGGGTGAGAGCAGCGCCCAGGGGCCCAGGGTCCGCAGTTCTTCTCACCTCCCTGCCCAGGACACAGAGCAGCAGCCCAGGCCGGACGCGCTCCCTGAACTGAGTGCTGCTTCGTCTGCTCGGGCCCGGCCCTGGGCCCTGGGGGGCTGTCTGGCACACGAGGAGGTCGAGGCAGGGATGGGATTGAGCGGCTAGAGCCTCGGGCCCCCCCTCCCTGAAGACAAGCGTGGGAGAAGGTGGGCTTGCGGGTGGGGGTCATCCCGTGTCCAGCCTTGACCCCCTTCCGGGACCACCGAGAGGGCTACCCCGGGGATCCATCAGAAGAGAGGGTGCTCCGCCTGTAGCTATCTTTCTCCTGCGCAGAGTGAAAAAGTTTTCACCAAAGGAAGCCTCATCGATCAGTCGCGCCCTTCCCGGTCGGCGCCATCCAACTCTAAAGGGGAACAGCCCCGGGAGCGAAGGAAAGCTTCCGTCCTCGCCTCCTCCCCCACAACAGGCCGGGACCCTTACCTTGGGTCCCCACCCGAGTCTGAGATGGGGCAGCGTGACCCGGGGTCCTGCGCGCTCCGGG